AGGGAGCCCGATGTGGGACTCGATCCCAGGACCCTGGGATCATGACCTGAGCCAAAGGCAGACGCTTAACGACTGAGCCACCCAGGTGCCCCATTAACTTGTGTCTTTGGACAGGTTTTTTATCCTGAGTCTCTGAGTCCCCATCGATAGAATGGATTGTGGTGAGGATTTCGAATCAAAGGCATATTTTAAAAGCCCAGCACAGTGCCTAATGTTGGGAAGATGCTCATCCTGGGTCAATTTTCTTCTTCTAGAAAAGTCTTCTGCTTTGAACCCTGGGCAGAATCTCTAACGCTATAGCTTCTTTGTTGTGCCAGTAGAGGGTTTGTTTTATTCTACTCATGTAGTCGTTCAATCAACCAACATTTACTGGGCACTTTTCATGTCCCAGGACTTGCAGATACAGAGGCAGATAAAATATGGGCCTTGGTCACATGTTGCCATAGAGTAAGTGCATGAAGTACCACAGCAGGGTAGAGGGGTACAAGACATGTGTGACCAATTCTACTTGGGTAGATAGCATTGTTCTTTCCAAGATGAACAGTTATTTCTGGGGAGGGAGAGGCAGGAGAGAAGGAATGGAGAAGCGAGAGGTGGGAAGAAGGATGAATGCGTGGGAGAAACTTATAACTGAGGAAGGAACCAGGGCCTGGGTTCTGGGGGGCCAGTTATATCATGATAAGGAGTTTCACTTCATCCTGAAGGCAGTGGATGGCTATTGAACAGGAGGAACGTGGAAGACCACTTGGTATTCTAGAAAACTCAGTTTGGCTGCATTGTGAAGACTGCATGAGGGTAGTGAAACAGAAGGCAGAGAGGCCAGGTAGGAGGCTCCTGCAGCGGTCTTAGGGATAATGGAGGTCCGAACCAAGAGAGAGGCAGATGTGGGGGGCAGGTAGACATGGCAAGACTTGGTCATCAAGTTGGTGTAGAGGTGAAGTAAAGAATGATCCCTAGATTTCTAGGTGAGGTGTGTGTTCCTCTCTGAAATGGAAGAGACAAGAGGAGATGGTTTATGGAGGGTGAGGAGAGGATGATAGGCTTGTGTGGGACATGCTGGTCTAAGATGTTTTGGGAAAGTCCAAGAGGATATTGACGGTGCTCAGGAAAGCAGTCTGGATTGGAGACCCTGATTTTTGTCATTTTTTTGGTGGATGTTGAAACCATGTAAGTGGATGACATTATCCAAGAGAAGGCTGTAGAGTCTTTGAGAAGGAGGCCAAACACAGAACCCTGGTAATCACCAATTTTAGGGGTACAGCAGAGGAAAAGGAAACTGCAAAGAAGTCAGGAAAGAACTAAACAGCTAGTCAGAGAAGGAAGGCAGATGAGATGAGAGAGGCCTGTCATGGGAGTCAGAAGAACAGTTTGCAGGAGAAAAGAGATTGATTGGTCAACAGTGTCAGGTGAGATGAGACAAAAAGAAGGCCACTGGGTTTAGCTATTAGGAAATCGTTGGTGGGGGGGCACCTGGCTGGCTCAGTCGATAGAACATGGGACTCTTGATCTCGGGGCTGTGAGTTCGAGCCCCACGTTGGACATAGAGATTACTTTAAAAAAATAAGTAAAATCTTAAAAAAAATCATTTAAAAAAGAAAAGAAAAAAAAAAAAGGAAATAGTTGGTGGCCTATGCCTGGGCTTTTTTGATAGAAGGGCCCAGTAGCTGCCATGTTGTATGTGGCTGGCCTAGAAGAGAGGTGGAGACTCTGAATTCTCTGAAGATAGGGACTGGGCCTCCTTCACTGGTACCTAGTGAAGCTAATATGTCTGTTAAATGAAGGCGTGAATAAATCTGGATTGAAAAGGAAGAGAGGTGGGATATGCAGTGGTAGAGGGAGAAACGGGGTTTATAGAGTGTTTTGTTTAAAGATATTCATTGCCTGTAGGAAAAAAACAAAAACAGTGAAGAGGTAAAAATTCTGGCTGAGACCTAGAATTCAGGTGCTTTGGGCAGGAGGAAGGTGGAGGGGTACTTCCCCAGGCTGGAGGAGAGTTGATGAGGGTGGGAGCAGCCTCAGGTAATGCTGGTGCAATGAGCTGAGAGGAACAGCAGCAGGGCAGGAACTTCCAGGAAGGTGCTGCAAGTTTCATTCATTCATTCAATACATTTTGGGTACTTACTGAGCTGTGGAAAATAGAAGGAGCTGACCAGGGACCTGTAGAAAGATGACCAAGTGCCACTGAAGGCCCTGCTAAAGTCCCCCAAGCTATCAGCTCAAGGAGCAGGACTCAGCTCTGATGCCTCAAAGGACAAAGCTAATTGGGGGAAAGCAAGGCAAGTGGCAGATTCTGCCTTGGTTGCTGATGGAGCTGTGGCCCCAGCCGAGGGACACTGTCTGACCAGCCTCCACACACCCTGGGAATTCCTGGAATTGTCCCTCCTTGCCTAGGCTCTGGCTCACTCCCATTCGTTACTCCAGACTCCGCTCCTGTTATGCTTCTTCCAGGAAGTCTTCCTCATCACCCCCCACCCCCAGCCCTGCCTCTTCTTGTTCTCTGTTCCCACAGGCCTTCCTCCCACCTCCCTTCCCATCAGTGTCTGCATCATGCCGCCGCCCTGAACTGTTCATCCTCTGTGTCCCTCTCCTCTCCCTGAGAACAGGGGCTGTTGGGTTGTTTTCTTTTTTAATTTCCCGCATCTCCAGGGCGCGGGCGGAGCTTGTCAGGGAATGTTTGAGGCATGGATGGCACGGGGAGGGGGCTGCCGCCGCTGCCACTCTATACTCTCTCAGATGTAAACAGGTTACCCGGCTGGGAGAGAGGACATCGGCTGGCTGGTGTGCCATCTAGCACCAATGCATCTACCTTCTCCTCTGAAGGTGGGTCCGGGGTTCCCCACCGCCCTCACTTGGGAAAACTTGACACTTGGTGGCAGGCAGGAGGGAGGGAAGTGTTTGGTCCTGAACGGGTTACCCGGCTGCCCCAGCCCCAGGCCATCCCCTACTCCTGCCAGGCCCAGGCTGGGAGGGCCCATTCCCCATTCCCCGAGGCCACAGTCACCCTTATCTTTGGCCTAGCACTTTATGTGCACAGATTTGACGTATATGAACTGAGCCCTCTCAACAATCCTGCAAAATATGTATTACCGCCATCCCCATTTTATGGGTAAGGAAATGAAGGCGCAGAGAAGTAACTTGCCCTGGGACGCCCAGCTAGTAAGTGACAGAGCCAAGACTTGTACTCAGGCCGGTCGGATGTCAAGTACAGGGCACGTGCCACTCTGCTGCCCCTTGTCCCCAGTTCAGCAGTGCTGAAGAAGGTGGTGGTGGTGGTGACCCAAGGTCCGGCCTCACGTGCCTTATTCCCCCCAGGATGGAAAGGGGGCATGGGCAGAGAAGCAGAAAGGGAGGCCACCAAGTGGGTCAGGGGTGGATGGGGGACCTGGGGCCCTCACGGCCTGGTGGGGGGAAGGGAGGAAGCTGCTGTCCCCTCATCTCTCAAGTACTTTCAAGGCCACTGGACTAACACACCCCCAGCCTGAGTTACCTCCTGGGGCGTGGCCAGTGTGAGGTCTTGTCCCAGGTCCACCATCATAGAGGCTGGGTAAAGGCTCAGTTCTCCCTGCCTGTCTGGAGGGATAAGGCCACCGTAGCGCCCCATACCAGGCTGGAACTCACCAGTGCCAGCTCACTTCTTCCTGCAGGGGTGGGTGGAGCTGGAGTCCAAGGGGGGACCTGCAAGAAGGCGCCTTGTTCTCTCTGTCCTGGTATGTGAGAGCTTGGGCACATGGAGTCACTTCACAGGCTCACCTTTTAGATGGCAGCCTGAGGGAGAGCCGTTGGTAGACTGGAGCCTTGGGCAGGGTCAGAGGGGAGGCGGCGGGGGTAGAGGATGGGAGAGGGCTGGTGTTGGCCTGAGCAAAAGAGGTGGAGCCTTTCTTCAGGGCTTTCCCCAAATGCCAAATCCTCACCCCAGCGGCTTCGCTGTGTCCAGGGTACCTGTGCTGCCTCCAACCGGTGGCCGGGCTCGGGGTGGGGGCGGGTCCTTCAAGTCTGTGGCCCTAAGGAGATGGGATGGGCAATGGGGCCTTGATGAGTATGGAGCAAAGTGTGAGCATGGGGAATGGGAGAGAAGTGAGAAAGGGAGGAAGGTGTCAGAAGGGAGGCGGATCTTGGAGAAGAGGAGGGGAAAGCAAGCGCCAGAGTCAGGTGGAGAAGCTGAGGGGCCTGACCTTATCTCCCCTCCAGGCCACAGCAGGGCTTGGGGCTGGAGTGACCCTGAGGCTGAGTGGTAGGGAGTGGGCCTCCTGGCCTGTGCAGGTGGGGCGGGGGGCTTCTGAACTGGTGCTCCTGTCGGCCACATGGTTCCACGGTCTGCTTGGCCGGAGGGCCTTCGCCTCCCCGGGCAGCCTGTGGAGGGCTCCAGCAGGTTCAGCAGGAGGCGGGGAGTGGAAGAGGCAGGTGTCATGGGGCAGCAAAGGGGACTCGCTGAGACATTTTCCTGGGAGTCTGTGGGGGAGGATTTGTGCAGGGGACCTGAGGGGAAAGGGGAGTACTGGGTTCCTACGGGGTGGTTACCACTCTGAAGTAGAAAGCTGCCGGGGAAGGGGAGGGTGGGTGGCAGCAGCTGAATCTGGCGAAGCCTTTAGATTGAGCTATGGGAGGGGAGACCCAGAGGTGTGCCGCTGTCGCCACCCCAGGTGAATTCAAGGACCCGGACAGGTGCTGTTGGAAACACAAGCAGTGCACTGGGCACATCATCCACCCCTTCACCTCAGACCATGGCCACCACAACCTGCACCTGCACTCCGCCAGCCACTGTGACTGTGATTCTAGGTAAGGGCCCTCCTTCTTGGGAGACCCGCAGCCCAGAAGAGACTGCTGGGCAGAGCTAGGCCCACAATTTCCCTGTGGTTCCCCCTTCAGCTTTGACCTGGCACTGCTAGCCCGGCCCCAGCTTTGTAAACCTGGCTCTGCTCCAGAGCCATAGGGAGGAGGTCTTTCGGCAGCCTGGGCTGAGTCCAGCAGAGGCCAGCTGTCCCCCAGGCTTCTCGCTCTGGGTCCCGGGGGGAGTCACGGAGGCATGGGAGCCAGGCTGAGTCCTCTGTGTGGCAGGCTGAAGGACTGCTCAGAGAAGACAAATAGCGACAACTCCCGAGATGTGGGCCCAACCTGCTCCCGAGAGGAGGGCTCAACATGTTTCAACATCATCCAGTCCCCTTGCTTTGAGCTCATCCCAGAGGAAGAGTGTGTGGAGCGGTTCTGGTATGGCTGGTGAGTGCTGGCAGGCTGACAGGGGCGGCACTAAGGGGCACCGGCCCCCCCCACTCTCTGTCAATCCTCTCTCTCCCTGTCCCCCTCCCTCCCAGGTGCAAAAGCTATAGGCCTGTCTCTGTGGCAGTGATCCACCATCCAGTCCACCATGACTATGTGGCAGACGACCTGAATGAAGAGGAGGAGGAGGAGGAGGAGGAGGAGGAAAGCAAGCCTCCCATCCCGACCCAAGTAGGGCCCGCCACCCCTGCACCCGCTGACACAGGCCTGGGCGCAGTCACAGGTACCCCGGACTCAGCAGCTCCCATCACGATCTGGCGCTCCAAGAGCCCCATGGGAAAGTCCCAAGGCAACAAGGTGATCAAGAAGGTGAAGAAGAAAAAAGAAAAAGAGAAAGACAAGGAAGAGGAGACAGATGAGAAGGTAAAGCCGAAGAAAAAAGTCAAGAAGGGCAAGTTGATTAAGAAGAAAAGCCCGGTGAAATTGGAATCTTCACCTCCAGACTTGAGCCGATCAGTAAGCCCGAGAGAGTTGACCAGGATGTCCGAGTCCAGCCCAGACAGCCGGGAAGACCTGGAGAGTGAGGACAGTTACAATGACCCCAGGCGGGAGGAGCCCTCCAGCGAGGATATTGTGGAGTCTTCGTCACCCAGGAAGAGAGAGAAGAACACGGTCCAGACTAAGAAACCTGGGGCCAAGACCTCACCAGTCAAGGTCAAGAGGAAATCTCCCCCAGGATCAAACCCCAATCTCAGTTGAGGCCAGGGCGTCCATGGTGAAGAATAAATGCGTCAAGCCTGTAGCTGACCCCCTGCTGCTGTTCTCTCTCCCTCCAACCTGTCCCTGGGGCTGGGGGTGAGCTCTGGGCATAGCTGGAGCCAAGGGGCCAGGGGGCTGCAGGGGTTTCTGAAGGGTAATCTGTCTCTCAGGAGGGAGTCCATGGGAACGTAGGAGGGAGGACAGAGGGGGACACGGCCTGTTTCTCTGTAACATCCTAGGCTCGGGGCAGGAGAGGAGCACATCTGGGTGGGGTGGGAAGGAGGCTGCCCGTCTCCTGGGAGACTGGTCTGTGTGCAATCCGCTCAGGGACAGGCAGTGCTGTCTGCAGTGACACCCCTAATAAATTGAACCTTTTAACCCACTCTGTGCCACTGTGCCTGGCCTCTCCCTCCTCTAAGTGGCCTTCAGGAAGATGCTGGTGGCACCGAAGGGAACATGATCTTCCCAGCTGGTGTGTCCCCACTCCTGCTAGGCCCTTCCAGACCTCTGTGCTGAAGGGAATGGAAACGAGTTCCTGGCAGAAGAGCAGCCTTTCCCTCCCAACTCTTGTCAACAGCCAAAGAGGTCTTGACTGACGGGATGAAGTCCAGATGGGAGGCTTATCAAGTTTGGGCAGTAGTGACCTTTCCTGATTTCTCTGCTGAGCCCCAAGCAGAGGAAAGGGAGAGGGAAAGCCTCACTTTCCCAGCACCAACTTGCAAAGCTGTGAGGCGAGGCCCTTCTGAAGAAACACGGCATACGAGGAGTCTAGAACACAACGAGGCAGTCAGGCTGGGGGAAGGGGCCAGGGCCAGGGGGCTGGCTGGACCAAGCTGGTAAGAGGGGGGACTGGCCTCCCCTGCCACCGCCTGGCACCTCCTTTTCCAGGGCGTGTGTGGGAGCAGGCGAGCATGGGGCCCATCCTGGGGCAGCCGTGCTTGTGTAGAGACGCTCTACTATCACAGACCAAGGCCCAGCTGGCAAAAAGAGCCGGGGAAGAGGTGCAGGGGCTCGAGAAACCGGAAGTTACGCGCAGCCCCTCTTCACTGTGCCAGAGGAAGCGAGCGGGTGCAGATGGTGGGCTGTGTGCAAGTGTAGTAACAGCACCTAACGGGTCCTGGGGCCTCACGAGGTCCTAGGCCCCGGGCTGAGCGCGCACACGTCCTCTCTCGGTCCTGGCAGCTGCCCGGACGAGGCAGGTATCGATCACTCCATTTTACAGAGACAACAGGCACAGGGCTGGGGAGCGGAGCAGGTACGTGACCCCAAGCAGTCAGATACAGAAGCTGCTTGCTGTTCAGAGTCACTGTCTCTCTGATGGCCTGGAAGGAGTCAGGGGGAGCCCCCAGAGCTCCACACACTGCTTTGAAAGCCACCCTTCAAGAGCCGGAGCGTTGGAGAGAAAGGCTTTGCCAAGTGCTCTGTAGAAACACTGTTTATTCAAATGACAGGCAGGAAGCGGAGGCAGCAGCAGGTGGGTGAAGGCGGCCAGGCGGGCATGGGGCAGGTTAGCACTGCTCCCCCAGGTCCCCTGCAATTCTGCTTTGCTAGCCACCCAAGCTGTCGGCATCAGGGTCAGAAATACTTTCCCTCCTCTCCCTCCTGCCCCAAACTGAATAAATAGCATTCCTCTCCCCTCAAGAGCTGGGGGAGACTCATGTGCTGAGCTTGGTGCCCCAGGGTCACAGCCCAGAGTCAGGTGAGGGCAGAAGCTCAAAATGGCTTGTAGGGAGCAGAATACAAAACTGTTCCACTCTCATTCTCGTCTTCCTCTTCTTCCTCCCCGCCACACTCCCCTCCCAGCCTGGTCCCGGGACAGGTGGTCGGTGAGGGCCTGGAGTGGGAGAATTGTTGCCTAGCGTACACTGAGCTCAAATTCGCAAGGCCGTCCAGCTTGTCACCCATCCAGGCTGACCACCAAAGAGAATGTCAACTCACGCCACTTTATGGACAGAAAAAGAGGGGCAGGGAGTGAGGCAGTGGGCGGCTGGGCCTCTCCCAGCCTCAGAGGTAACCAGAGTCCTAGGAGCGGGCCCCCTACCGATCCATCTCATCCAGGAGCGGGGTGGCATCGCCGGCAATGGACATGGGGGTGCTTTCGATCATAGGGCTGGGGGAGGGCCGGGGTGTCAGCCGCTGCTTCTGTTTCCGCCGCTCGGCTTCCTTCTCCTGGAGCCACTGCTCTGCCATCTTCCCCCAGTCGATGGCGGCGTGGCTGCTGGACCTGGAAATGGGAAGAAGGGGCCTCTGAGATCAGGACCCTCCGGGAGCTCGCTAGAAGGAAGCCTTCCCTCACCTGTCCTTACAGAAAGCAGCCGTTGCCGGCTGCCCCGTGGCCCTCTTCTGTCTTCTCCCAGAAAGCAGTCATCCAGAGCTATCGCCTGGGTCACAGCTCTCACGAGGTCCAAGGCCCCTGCCTACGCCGAGCCCGCTGGAGGCTGGCGACACCTGCCCCTAGGAGCCTGCCCTGTGCCACGGACCACATACTTACTTTGGCTGCTGCTGCCGTTGCCGAGAGCTGGAAGAGGGCTGGGGCTGGGCCTGGGCCGCCTGGGGGGTGGTGCTGGCCTGGAGCTGGTGGTACTGTGGTGTGGTGATGGGCTGGCTGGGGGTTGTGTACGAGTAGCTGGGGGTCATGAGCGGTGTGGCCACTGGCTGCTGGGCTGGCGTTGGGAACACCTGGAGAAAGGAGAACGGTCAAATGCGGATGGGCTTGGGGCTTATTCGGACTTGCTACCAACTTCCGGCAAGCTGAAAGCTGGGGCTCGGCCCAGAGCTTTCCAGCTGACCAACATCTCTTGAGCAGTATGTGGTCCCAAGCAGCAGAGAGAGGCCAGCAGGATGGGACCTGGCACAACAACCCTCAGTCCTGGCCACGTGAGGTTTCCAAAGATCCCAAAGGACCATGGAAAAATCAGACCTTACTCCCTTTACCCTCACGTGGGCCCAGGGCAAGGGACCGTGGGTTGCAGACAGTTCCTACGGCTGTGGCGACCCCATCTGTATGTCTGAAGGCCCCTGTGGTGGGCGCTGCCAGAGGCCAGTCTATGGACACGGGTCAGTAAAGGAGGGTCGGGAATGGATGATCATTCCCGTTCAGTGTTCTCCATCCCCTGCAGGGAGCCTCGTCCCCAAGCCACGTACGTGGTAAGCGCTGCTGCCCCCTCCGCTGCCGCCATAGCCATACTGGCTGGAGGCCCACTGGGCTGGGGTGGCGTTAGGGTTCTGTCCTTGGCCTGTCACGGCTGCAATGGCACTGAACATCTGTGAGGTCATGTTCTGGGGCAGGGCATTCACAGCTCGTGTCAGATCTGTAAGCACACAGAGGTGGGGGATGGGCACATCAGAGGTCAAAGTCCTTCTGGTGCCATCCCTCCAGCTCCCAGTCCCAGACATGAGCTCCTCACCTGCAAGGTTGATGTTGGCTGGGGTGGCGTTGATAGAAGCGGGTGTCCGGGTCCTGCTGCTGCTACTGGGGGTGATGCCTGTAGGAAACGGCCAAAGTTAGTTACGTCCCTCCAGAAACCTATTTCTGGTTTCACAACGTAGGGGGCTAGAGGACGTCTGAGGTGGGTGGAGAGAAGGGAAGCTGCGTCGGCAAAGTAGATGCCAGGAGGCTGGAGCAGAAGTGAGGCAGCTGCGGTGACAGCTCAGGCCTTGCCCCTTCCACAGTGGCAAGTGAGCATCCGGATTCAGGGCCTAGCTGTCCCTTTAAGCACACCCCAGAGCGCAGAACTCACCCGGGACAGGATCCTGGTAGTGATCCTTAAACCATCTGAAAAGTCCATTCACAGTAGGGAAGATTTGGCCCCGGTACCGGAATCCTTCGGGAGTCACTGTTACATATTCTATCCTGGGATTTTGGAAGGAAACATGCGTCAGACACCACTTGGGGTCAGCCCTGAGAGAGGGGCCAGAACAGATCTCCACCATGTGAAGAAGCCAAGCTGGGTGCTGGGGGGGAAAGGAGAGATGAAAGAGCCCCGACTCTGTCAAAGGAGGCCGCACTCTGAGGAGGTGAGCATGGTCAAGGCCAGGAGTCAGCAGCCCCTGGTATGCTAGGACAGGTCGCCAGAGGATGGCCTGCAGGGGGCTGGCCCACCATCCTGCCACCATCCTGGGCTGCAGGATGATGGCAGCACATGCAGGTGAGGGTAAGACTGAGGTCACAGTGTCAGGGTTGGAGGGGCCTCCCAGGGCAGCAAACACAATTCCCCATGAACTGGAATCTGGAAGCACCCCTGTTCAGGTGGGGAGTCTGACCTTACTCAACACTGCGGTGCAGGGAGTACGTGAGGATGGGCTCTGTCACTCGCCACCTAGATGACTTTATGTGAAGTTACTAAACCCGAATCTCAGCTTCATTTGAAAATGAGAGTAACAACCCTTAAACCTTTAGAATTGAGTGTGAGGAATAAATGAGACGGTGCACAGGACGCACTTAGCATGGTGCCTAAATTACGGTTTTGTTCGATTAAGGGTAACTGTCAATTACCAACAGACAATTACAAAAGCACCAAGTTCTCATTTATATGTAAGTTGAACCCTGCTTCCTAAATCTAATGACACTCAAGTGTCGTTAGTTTGGCAACACAAGGAGTCTGCATGCCTTCCTATGGAAAGTTATCATGGTGCCTTTACTCCTTTGTTTAAAGGTCCCTTGTTTGTTTAACTGTTTCTCATGGGACAGTGTCCAGCCAAGAGCCCTGGCTGCCATCCTCTGGAAGCTGAGTCAGAAATGGCTTCTCAGAAACAATATTCCACATGTGCCCAAGATGGTGTAGGGTCTAGAGTCTAGAGTTTCTTGTCACCAGCCACTGAGTCCCTACCTACAGTCTATACTGTTTATCATGTGCAGGCAATAATAGGCAGACAAGAGCAGAAATGCACTGGCCTTGGCCAAAGGCCAAAGGGGGGATCGGGGCACAGAGAAGGCCGGTAGAATGATCAGTCTGGGTAATAGACAAAAAGCAAGCAGATCCAAAAAAAGAAAAAAGGAAAAAGGGACTTTGGTTCAGAGTGAGCTCTAAAGGGACCCAGACAAAGGA